CACGCCTTCTCCAAATACCCCTACTCATTTGTAGAAAAATCTGCACATACCCGTTCCCCCACCCCATTGTCTTCTCCAAATACCCCCATCTCTTTTTTGCTAAAACATCTAGGCACCTACATACTCTTTCTTTTTTATTAGTGTCTTTTTCAAAAAAAAATAATCTTTTTTACCCTAATTAGCAGGTTTATAATTCACCAAAAAATAAACTTACTCCTCTTTAAATATTAAATTCTTTCTCATGAATAATTCAATATTTAATCTTGAAATGGGTCTATTCCTAAATTTCTAAAATAGTTTCCATCATTTTTCATCATTTTACTGTAACTATTTTTATTCACCATGTTGGATATTTAAGTTTGCAAAAATGGTGGCTGAAAATGGGAAAGAAGAAGAAAAAAATAATTAAAAAATCGACTAAATAGGTTTTTCACGCGCGCTCAGCAAGTGTATTACACTCACTAAGCCATGTAAGCAAAAAGTGTCAAAATGACACAGCGAGACCCTACATGAGGTGTCTAAAATGAACATCGCCCACTTAAGGTGCCTAAGTGAAACTTCGTGCCAAATTTAAGGGGCTACCGATGGGTTAGGCCTATAAAAAAATTGTTTGTGTTGTTAAACAAATTAACACTATTAGTGGTACTTGTTTCGTTTGAACACAAGCTATGCTAATATTATTTCTTATTGTATGTTTGATTTGTTACATATATTACATAATATCTAATTTTCTTTTGTTTATTTGCAAATAAATCTTCCATCTTGTTTAATAGAAAAATGATTTGAAGGACCTAATGGATCAATTTTATCATTTTCATTGTTTTATATTGTAATAACTAATCATCATATTATTATTCCAACCTCAAGATAATTTATCACGATACCAATTACTATTATCCTAACAAAAGCAACGACAAAACTAGAATTTTAATTTGAAAAAGTTTTTATTAAGGTGCCAAAAACCAATTAATTTGGTCCCACTTACTTTTTTAAAATTTTCAAATCTCCCACATTCTTGTCTCTATGTCACATCTTTAGATTCTCTACCAAAAAAACAACCCAAAATTTCAAAAAAATAAAATTTAAAAAAAACTCTTCCCTCCCTTGTTTAAAAAATTAAGCACCCACCTGAAATTTTACAGATTATAAAAATAAACAAATTTCAAATCCTTCCCTCCAAAATTTTAGTCCTTCTTCAAAATCCCATATCTATAAATTACTTCTTCAAATACTTTGTTTTTTACATCTGAAAAAATGGAGGTGTTAGCTATTATTACTGAATTTGATAATAAGGAGAATATCTCACCTTTCTCTGTACAAAAATTGACCCCAAATTCTTCAAAATTGAAATTTTGCAAGAGAAAATTCAGGAGGCCTTTGAAAGATATCACCAATTCAGCTGCTTTTGCGAGATTTCATAGATCTGATTCTGTTTCTTCTCAAGAGATTGTTCGTCGAAAGCGAAAAGAAATTGATGAGAATGTTGATTCATTACAGAAGCAGCATTGTTCGAAGATGCTTAGAACAGATTTCAGATAGTTCAATTTTTTTCCAAATAAATATATTAAATTCAATTGTTTTTTTTTTGTTGAAGAAACTATGTGCTCTCTGTTAATTAATGTTCTGAATTAAACGAATTGCAGCAACAAAATAAATTCCCAAAATGTTTTTTTTTCTTTCATATGTGGTTTGATATATGCATTGGGAAATAATTAAATTCGGATTTGTGTATTGGGGCGGTGCTTTCAGTTAAGTGCGAAGAGATTTCAACCATCTCATTATATCTGGTTAAATTTCTAAAACGATTGTTATTTGTCAATGAGTCTTGCTATATTTCTTATGGAAAAGATATGTTTGATTTGGAACGAGCGAAGGGATCTCAATCATCCCATCCACTTTAATTAGTATGAAAAGGGCCCCGCTTAGCTTTTGCTTCTTGATTGACTTAATGTTGATTGTTACATTTATCTATATATAATTAGAAGTTAGTGCTAGTGAGTAGTGCATTAGTGACATAACCTTACTAATAAGACCAAAAACCAGGCCAGTAAACGGGATTATGCACCTAGATTTTGTAAATTATGTTTGCTACTTTTCAATTTGACTTTATCAAAGTGTTTAATGAGTTTTGTATTTGATTAAAAACAAGTAATTAACTAGATACGTAAATCTTGTTTTGAAACATGTATATGACTTAAGCTTCTAATTGCCTTTAGTGGAGTGTGACTAAAATAATATAATTAGATGAATGAGACTTAAAACAGAGAAAGAACATTGTTTTGGTTTGATATTTGAACAAAGTTTTAAATCACACTATATTAAAAATATCTTTGGACTGACTTAGCCAACAACTGGTTTTAAAGCCAATGATTCGACCAGACAATTATGAAAATGGTGAAGTGATAGTATAATATTCAGTTTACTATATACCTTTAGAGTAGCTTGAAGATGTGCACACACAAGAAGAAACTAGCTAGCTCCGAGTTTCGGTGGGGCCAAAAATGCTCAGTCATGTAGGTGGAACACAATAATCTCAGAATAAATTTGTGGATTGTAGTGATGGGCCATGTGAAACTTAGTGTGAGAAGGAGATTTTTGGGTGTGCGAACAAAGTTTCATATTAATAGTTGAAAAAAATTAGAAAAGAACATTTAAGTTGTTTGAATACCCCTAATGGTATGAAAGTGAGCCTTTTTAAGGGAAACCATAGAGGGACCCAGACTAGACAATATCACACTATATCAAGAATATCTAAATACTGAATTTGTTAGTATTATCTTATTATATGCTAATAAACAAGAATAGAATGAACGAGGCTCATAGGTTTACACCTTTACTTTTATCTCTTTCATCTTGGTATTATAGCAGACAAAGCTCTTGAGATCGAATCTCACCCGTCATTCATATAAAAATGAATTTTCACGTGTTTGACCCATAAAAAAAAAGCAGGATAGTCACTAACCAAAAAAAAAAAGTCGAATTTGACAAATCAAATTGATTGTCACAGACCACTTGCAAAACTAAAGATAGACAACTTTTATGAACTAAAAAAATAACTTATGTTAGGACAAATAGAAGTTGACTCTTCGATGCCTCACAAAGGAATGTTAAGACAACAAATTAAAAGTTATATTTCAATAAATCTTTTCCAAATAACAAACTCTGAACAAGTGGCCAAATAAATATAAGAAAAATATTTTTTCTCTATATATATGTATGTTGAAAACTAGGCTACATCTATGTTTTAAGTATTTATCATCAATTAGGACAATGTATCTGGGGAAATTTTATGTATTTCTAATTGTTGTACTTATTATGGTGCAATGTTCAAATATTGCTCGTCCTATGGAGCAGAAAAGAAGTTTAACTGAACCTTTTCTCGTATATTTCGAGAGGAAAAAAGCCCTTGAGGTACATTATTATGACGGATATAAAAGCAAATTACAAAGTAGATACAAGCCAACGCGACGAAGTCCTGGAGGACCTGACCCCAAACATCATTAATCCATGAATGAGTTGTTGTCATGAAGGGAAAATAAGAACTTTGTATCATTTTTATTTGTGTTAGATCTTAGATGGATATGCAATGGTGTTCATACTTGCATTTTCACCTTGTTTTCTTCATAAGTAGTAGTAAGAGTAATATATTAAGAGTTAAAAAGACCATAGTATGATATTTTCACAAGACAATTTGCCACAGAATCAGAGATCAATTCTCACTTAATGCATATGTATTCATATTCTAAAAATCCTATATTCGCCTCTGTATGTTAAATATATGTTCCTCAAAAGAATGTTCCATGTTTTTAATAGCTTCAGTGTTATTACAATCTTGTCTTTTATTTAAATTGATAACGTTCTTTATTTTCGAATATAAAACCCCAAAACAAGTATGATAGACTCTTGTGATTCGGCCCTTCCTCGAATAAGTGCATAAAATTGCAGCTCCTCCTCTGCTTCTAAATGCATACAAGCTCAGTACTTCCCAGTAAAGAGTTTTACTCTTTGGCTGGGCTGCATGAGGAACACTACTTCACTGTCAAGAATTTCAACATTCCCTAAATATTTCTCTAATCATGGAGATAATATCAAACACCAAAAGCTCATTCAGTTATCTCAAGAACCAAATTGGATTCAATCTCTCGACGCAACTAAGGCTCTTCACGCACTCACAATAACAATGGGGCAACACCCAACTCAACCCTTTTTGGCGAATAACACTATCATGTTCAAGTATTCTGTATTCGGTGATATCTGCATTGCACGCAAGGTGTTTGATAATATGTCCAAAAGAAATGTTGCGTCATACAATACAATGATTAGTGGTTATAGTCGGAATGGAAGTTTATTAGAGGCTTGGAAGTTGTTTTCTGAGATGAGGGGTTGTGGATATGTGCCGACTCAGTTTAGTTTTGGTGGGGTTTTGGGTTGTGAGTGTTTGGATGTTATTCAAGGATTTCAGTTGCAAGCGTTGGCTGAAAAATTGGGGCTGTTTTTCGTTGATGCTGTAACAGGGACTGCATTATTGGGTTTACTTGGAAGGAAAGGATGGTTAGATGAAGCTATGCAGGTTTTCGACGAAATGCCTAAAAGGAATTTGGTGACTTTGAATTGTATGATATCCTTGTTTGGACAGTATGAATGTGTTGAGGAGTCAATGATGGTGTTAAGGAGGTTATTAAGGAGTGGAATGGCTCCTTCCGAGAGCACTTTCGTGGGCATATTGGCCGGTTTTGTTGGGGAACTTGATTTGATATTAGGGGAACTAGTACATGGGTTGGTAGTGAAAAATGGACTGGATTTTTCTGTTTCAGTGAATAATTCATTGATTAACATGTATGCGAAATGCTCTGACATACATATGGCGGAGAAAATGTTTGAAGATGTTCCTGTTAAGGATGTTGTGTCGTGGAATACAATGGTTGGTGCAATGGCGAAGATTGAAAGAGCGGATAGGGCATTGGTTGTTTTAAGGAAAATGTGTGTAAGTGGCGTATTGCTTAATGATACGAGTTATGTGAGTGCCCTAAGTTGCTGCACTAGCCAGCAGTTTCGATTGCTTGGGGAGTCCATCCATGCGAAAGTAATCCAGAAAAAGTTTGAATCTGATGTATATGTCGGTAGTGCTTTACTTGACTTTTATGTTAAATGTGATAGATTGGATGATGCTCATGTTTGCTTTGATGAAATATCGGAGAAGAATGTGGTTTCTTGGAATACGTTGATGTTGGGTTATTCGAGTAAAGGTTCTTCTTATGTTATTACGCTGCTTCAACAAATGATTCACTCGGGTTGTCTTCCCACTGAGTTTTCTTTTTCTATTGCTGTGAAATCGTCAGGACTATTAGAGGTACTTCAGCTCCATTCTTTGTCCATAAAAATGGGTTACATTGATAATGATTATGTCTCTAGCAGTTTCATTTCTTCGTATGCAAAATCTAGTTCAGTTGATGATGCCCTAAGGTTTGTCACTACCAATGACATGCCACTTCCTGTTGTTGCATCCAATATGATCGCAAATATTTATAACAGAAATGGACAATTCGATAAGACTCAAGAGTTGTTTTCGGACCTTGAAAATCCAGATACTGTATCTTGGAATATCTTGATTGCAGCCTGTTCTAGAAATGGTGATTACGAAGAAGTTTTTGAACTTCTTGGACACATGCGGATGGCTAGAGTATCTCCTGATAGATACACATATGTTAGCCTGTTTAGTGTGTGCACCAAGCTTTGTAACCTTGGTCTAGGTAGCTCACTTCATGGCCTCATTATAAAGACTGATTTTAAGCGTTGTGACACATTTGTCTGCAATATCATGATTGACATGTATGGCAAATGCGGGAGTCTTGCAAGTTCAATCAAGATTTTCAATGAAATGACGACTAAAAATGTGATCACATGGACAACCATTGTTTCAGCCCTTGGACTGCACGGTTATGCACACGAGGCATTAGAGAAATTCAAGGAGATGGATATGAACGGAATTAAACCTGATAAGGTTGTTTTCGTAGCTGTGCTTTCAGCATGTAGGCACGTTGGATTAGTGAAAGAGGGAATGAAATTGTTTGGGCAGATGAAAGGGAAATATGGGGTAGAACCAGAGATGGATCACTATCTTATTGCAGTGGACTTGTTGGCTAGGTATGGCTATTTGACAGAAGCCGAGCAGTTAATCACTGGGATGCCTTTCCCTCCAAATGCTCTAATATGGCGCATTTTTTTGGAAGGCTGCAAGAAAAAGAGAAGCATAGACGACACTATCGCTCTTGCTTCATAAAATATGTGTGATGCAGAGGACTACTATTGAAAGTAATGATCATGTTGCTTGATGGAGCTTATTTATTGTTTTCTCCCAACAACATATGAACAAACAGGAAACTGGTGTATTGATAACATGATGTTGCCTCAACCGGTTACAAGGTCGATGGATTATCAAGGTATGAGTTAGTTCCTTGATTATTACTGATGCAGCTGTTGTTTCTTCTGACGGAAAACTAAATTCAACATCAAATGGATGCTCTTAAGTAGATTATTGGAAGATCTTTTCATGTACTTACCTTAACAAATCTGCTTTTAGTTTTTTCCTACTGAAGGTTGAATAGCTTACAGAGATCGACTTGTCCGAGCATGAATGACTAAGAAATCATCAAGTACAAATTGGTCTAAACTAATCACAAACAAAACAGAGGAAACAGGTGAGATCTAAAGAAGTCTACCACTAAAGAATGTGGTGCAGTGGATGAGTCTGCTCCCCCCTTAACTAGAGATCTCGGGTTCGAGCCCTAGATATAGAGAAATCCTTGGTAGGGAGCACTTCCCCCTTAAATGGGGCCCTACGCAGCACTAATCAAATTAGTCAGACTCCAATGCGAGGACAAAGGAGTCATGTCTTTTGTAATCCATAGGCCATTACTCTGCTTCAATTGTGAATCCATATCATCAACATAACATGATATTGTTCGATTTTTTCTTGTCGATTCTATTGAGTTCTGGGGAAAATAAACTTCTGGAAGTGTTCTATCCGGTTGGAGAAATATGAGTTAGGCTTAAAGAAATGGTCTATTTGGTTTATATTTCTGATGATCTCTTTATTTGTCATCAATAAGGATTTGTTATAGAAGAAAAAAGTTGAATAGTATATATTGTGACCATAATAATAAAAACCACAGGGAAGCTAATTATATTGTGGTTGACCATAATAATAATAATAATCATAATCCATCATTGCATGATCTACAATTGAAACTCCAACAAAATCAAAAATTTGAGTGATCAATTCAACTCAATTGACTTTCCACACTGCCCCCTTGATGAAGATGAATTCCTACAGGTTTTAGAGCTCAAGTGATTTACCAAAGTGATCAGACCTTGAAAGCTGCTTTTTCAAGTCTCAGTAGCTGAACGTTCTATCGATACAAGAAGGTTTTTTTTCTTTTGACAACTTACATTATCAAAAAAATAAGTTATAGTTCTAATGAAGAACCTTCATAGTACTCCAAAGTCTTACCCATGGAAATAGAAGAATGCTTCATATGTACATTTTTTATGTACCTTAACTAGAAGTTTATCTTTTTTTTTGTGATGTAAAAGGAAGTCTCCATAGTTTACTTTAATATAACCAATTGTAAATAGGAAAAGTCCTCCTATTATGGTATTAATTTTCCTATTAATTCACCCCACTAGTTCTTTTGTTGACTAATTAAACTATCTTTAGCAAGATAGTTGACTAGTGTTACCACCATTAGGATCGGAGGTTAGGTTTATGTCTCTTGCTTTGTACTTTTCGTTAATTAAAGATATTAACATGTTAATTAGGAGCCAATGCTAAACCTTCCACTACCATGGAAGATAAAAGCCTGGTTCGATAATTTTAACATACAAAATATTTTCTTTTCTACAATGTAAATATATATGTAATACATGATATACCAACACATAGTTGATAGTCGCAATGGAAGTATATTAGAGGCTTGGAAGTTGTTTTCTGAGATGAGGGGTTGTGGATATGTGCCGACTCAGTTTAGTTTTGGTGGGGTTTTGGGTTGTGAGTGTTTGGATGTTATTCAAGGATTTCAGTTGCAAGCGTTGGCTGAAAAATTGGGGCTGTTTTTCGTTGATGCTGTAACAGGGACTGCATTATTGGGTTTACTTGGAAGGAAAGGATGGTTAGATGAAGCTATGCAGGTTTTCGACGAAATGCCTAAAAGGAATTTGGTGACTTTGAATTGTATGATATCCTTGTTTGGACAGTATGAATGTGTTGAGGAGTCAATGATGGTGTTAAGGAGGTTATTAAGGAGTGGAATGGCTCCTTCCGAGAGCACTTTCGTGGGCATATTGGTCGGTTTTGTTGGGGAACTTGATTTGATATTAGGGGAACTAGTACATGGGTAGGTAGTGAAAAATGGACTGGATTTTTCTGTTTCAGTGAATAATTCATTGATTAACATGTATGCGAAATGCTCTGACATACATATGGCGGAGAAAATGTTTGAAGATGTTCCTGTTAAGGATGTTGTGTCGTGGAATACAATGGTTGGTGCAATGGCGAAGATTGAAAGAGCGGATAGGGCATTGGTTGTTTTAAGGAAAATGTGTGTAAGTGGCGTATTGCTTAATGATACGAGTTATGTGAGTGCCCTAAGTTGCTGCACTAGCCAGCAGTTTCGATTGCTTGGGGAGTCCATCCATGCGAAAGTAATCCAGAAAAAGTTTGAATCTGATGTATATGTCGGTAGTGCTTTACTTGACTTTTATGTTAAATGTGATAGATTGGATGATGCTCATGTTTGCTTTGATGAAATATCGGAGAAGAATGTGGTTTCTTGGAATACGTTGATGTTGGGTTATTCGAGTAAAGGTTCTTCTTATGTTATTACGCTGCTTCAACAAATGATTCACTCGGGTTGTCTTCCCACTGAGTTTTCTTTTTCTATTGCTGTGAAATCGTCAGGACTATTAGAGGTACTTCAGCTCCATTCTTTGTCCATAAAAATGGGTTACATTGATAATGATTATGTCTCTAGCAGTTTCATTTCTTCGTATGCAAAATCTAGTTCAGTTGATGATGCCCTAAGGTTTGTCACTACCAATGACATGCCACTTCCTGTTGTTGCATCCAATATGATCGCAAATATTTATAACAGAAATGGACAATTCGATAAGACTCAAGAGTTGTTTTCGGACCTTGAAAATCCAGATACTGTATCTTGGAATATCTTGATTGCAGCCTGTTCTAGAAATGGTGATTACGAAGAAGTTTTTGAACTTCTTGGACACATGCGGATGGCTAGAGTATCTCCTGATAGATACACATATGTTAGCCTGTTTAGTGTGTGCACCAAGCTTTGTAACCTTGGTCTAGGTAGCTCACTTCATGGCCTCATTATAAAGACTGATTTTAAGCGTTGTGACACATTTGTCTGCAATATCATGATTGACATGTATGGCAAATGCGGGAGTCTTGCAAGTTCAATCAAGATTTTCAATGAAATGACGACTAAAAATGTGATCACATGGACAACCATTGTTTCAGCCCTTGGACTGCACGGTTATGCACACGAGGCATTAGAGAAATTCAAGGAGATGGATATGAACGGAATTAAACCTGATAAGGTTGTTTTCGTAGCTGTGCTTTCAGCATGTAGGCACGTTGGATTAGTGAAAGAGGGAATGAAATTGTTTGGGCAGATGAAAGGGAAATATGGGGTAGAACCAGAGATGGATCACTATCTTATTGCAGTGGACTTGTTGGCTAGGTATGGCTATTTGACAGAAGCCGAGCAGTTAATCACTGGGATGCCTTTCCCTCCAAATGCTCTAATATGGCGCATTTTTTTGGAAGGCTGCAAGAAAAAGAGAAGCATAGACGACACTATCGCTCTTGCTTCATAAAATATGTGTGATGCAGAGGACTACTATTGAAAGTAATGATCATGTTGCTATTAATAGTATATACAGCCGTTTCAAAAGCATTTGTCCAAAAATGGGAAGGAACATTGGCATGATGTAATAATGCTTTACCAGTTTCGACAATATGCCTATGTTTACGTTCTACGCAACCATTTTGTTCAGGAGTGTAAGGACAAGAAACTCGTTGTGTAATACCATTATCACGTAAATAGTTGGTTAAGGCTTGAAACTCCCCTCCCCAGTCCGCTTGAAAACATTTAATTGGGCGACCAAATTTTTTTTCAACAAGAGTGCGAAACTGAATAAAAACAGAAGTAACTTCAGATTTAAAGCGAAGAAAATAGATCCAAGTGTATTTTCTAAAATGATAAAAAAAGATCACATAATAGCGATAACCATCATTAGAAACAACCGGGGCAGGTCCCCAAACATCTAAACAAATTAAATAAAGTGGTCCAGAAGCCTGAAAAACTAGATTCACAAAAGAAATCTTATGACTTTTGCTAACAGCACAAGTAGTGCATAAACTAGGAGATTTGCTAGACTGAAAAACAGTAGATGGTAATGCTTGACGAACGGTAGGATAAGATGCATGAGCCAGACGAGCATGCCAAACACCACGAGAAGCTGCAAAGGAAGCTGGAGAGGATAGTTTTGTCACAGGAAGCGAGTATAGTCCTCTATTAGTCCATCCTTGTGAAGTGGTACCCTCGTTGCCAAATCCTTAATCAAAAAATGGTCAGAAAAGAATTCAACAGACACATTGTTAGATTTAGTAAAGGAACTAATGGAAACTAAATTTTGAGTAGCAGTAGGAACATGAAGAATATCGTCAAGTTTGAAGTTTTTGTCGGAAGCGACAATAGAACTTGCACTTATATGAGATATTGGTAATTTAGAGTCATTACCTAGAGTTACTTCCTCAGAACCTTGATATTCAGAGTGAATGCCAAGGTTATCCAGATCAGATGTCAGATGATGCATGGTGCCACTATCCATAAACCAATTTTGGGTAGGTGAATGTTGGGTATTTGCTAGGTTGGAGACAGGTCGTCCAGAAACCCGAGTGCCATTAGATGTCTTGGGTGATGGGCAAACTCGTGCGACATGGCCTTTACCTTCACAATTATGACAAATAATTGTTGACATATTGAAGGTTGGAGATGGGATGTTAGAGGATTGAGTGGTATTCTGGAAATCACGTTGTTGGGGTATCTGAGAAAAACCATGATTTTGGAAACGTCCACGACCCCTGGTACCTCTACCTCTACCACGACCACGACCAAGAGGATAGGAACTCTGAGTATAGAGTGTCGTCGGCGCTATGACATTAAGAGTCTCATCTCTCTTTAATTGTCGTTCTTC